CTCCTCTCCAGGGGAACATTCCCAGGGGCTCTGAGCTCTCCTGGATCCTTCTCCTCTCCAGGGGAACATTCCCAGGGGCTCTGAGCTCTCCCTGGATCCTTCTCCTCTCCAGGGGAGCACCCCCCGTACCCAAATGATCTTTCCTCATAAATACTGAGGGCATCAGTGGCACAGAAGTTTGCATTCCAAATTGATATATGTGACAGATTGGCTGTTAAAACTCATTTCTTAATAAAATGAAGGTAAAGAGCAAATTCGTGCTGCCTCTGAAGCAACTCCCATTTACCTGCTTTGAAAAACCCCACAAAATGTCACCTCTAAATAAAAGAACTGAAATAATTTCCAAGTGTACCAAAACAGGCAGCAACTGAGCTAGCAGTATTTAACAAGCTGCTTTTGTTACACAGGGAGAAAGGTGCATAACGTGAAGCTGGGCATTTCTACTGATTTGGGACTGATTTGGGATGAAATAAAATGTCATTTACACTTGAGAGCTTCTCCTCGTGTTGCCAGGCCTGAGTTCACTGCTGGCATCACCCCTATGCCCAGCACTGTCTGCAGGAGCATTGTTGGAGGCTCTCCCAGCAAACCTGGTTTCTAAAAGGAAGAAGAGAAAACTGTGTAAATGATTAAAATAATCTGCTCATAGCTACTTTTTACAACTTCCACATTCTCAACATCTTCAGCTCCACTGAATTGTTCAAGGATCACAGAACCATGAATGGGTTGGGCTGGAAGGGACCTTAAAGATCGCCTGATGATATAAATGAATTATTTTGGGAATTCTGAGAGTGTTAGAGAGAGGCAGGGCTGCAGGGATGGCCTTACACTGTTTGCCTGCATGTTTTCCATCTTCAGGAGCTGCTGCTGGGGCAGGGGCAGGTGAGCAGGGCTCTGCAGCAGCAGGCTGGAGGTGCTCCCCAGAATTGAGCTCTGAGAAAGGATTAAAACAAGGGTTAGTTGGCACTCAGGGAGAAACACTTCCACACAGTACTGCTTGAAGAAATTAAAGACTTTAAGACACCAAAGGAAAATAATTTCCTCCACAGAACTGATTTTGCTTCAGAGAAATACCCAGATATGTTTCCCCCCACAACAGTCTACATGAAACCCTACTCCAGAGGCAATAAAACCTGACAAATCACAGTGCCTGCAGATTGGCAAGTCTATAAAATATTCACATTGCTCATTCAGAATATTCCGGATCAGTTTGCCACCAGAACAGAGCCACTGAATTAATAACTTTGGGGCACCCTCTTCACACTCTGCCACTGCTATATGCAACATTATGAGCTCTGGCCAGCACTGAGGCTTAAAATAAACTTTAAAAGACATCATGATTTATGCTACAGGCCTGGAAGTGTCTGGCAGCATCATCTGCCAGTAAAATGCAGGGTGTTCTATAGGCTGTTGTACAAAAATAAACAGACAGGACACTGTGATCATGCCAAGTGCACCCTTCTTCATTGCTTTGTATCACCAAACCCAGGGAATGAGGACTGCAAAACACCCCTCGAATATTCCCTAGCCTTGGCTGTGTCTGGGTGGCAGGGTTAAATTCCCTAGGGAAGAATCCTTTGTGACTGAAATATCATCTTCTGGACTAAAAGATGATCTTCTGGACTCAGAAATATGCTTTTCCAAACAAAGATGGGCCATATCTAGATTAGTTGTGCATCTATTTGAATTGTCTCAGTGGTTTCCAGGAGAAATTATGCAGGGCTGGTTATTGTCACCAGTGCCAGGGGCTGCTCCTTCTAAACTTGGCTCCAGCAACAAAGCAAAGTGGCTCAGTTGCAAAACTTTCAAAAATAAAAGAGTGGAAAAATCAGTTTGGTCAGAATCCTCAAAGGAAAGGCTCTGGATTAATCAAGATTCAATAAATTGTTGGATGACTGAGGAAAACATCCCTGAGAAAGCTGAAAATGCATTATTTTGGAGCAGGATAATTTAAGACTAAGAGAAATTAAGAGAAATAAGTTGAAAAATGACTAGGTGAATAACCTTCAAGCCCTCTCTACTGAATCCTTTTTAAATAATTATTTTTAAATATTTGTTCTCATTCTGTTACTTTACAAAGACCTGAATATCAAATAGAAACCTAAGACATGCAGGGAGCTAAATCAGTATGGCTGGGGAGGGGTTTCAGTGACAACACTGAATTTTGAAATAAATAAATAAATGAATGAATAAAGCAGTGACCTGCTTGTCTGGTTTTAGAGAATACCCCAAAACAAATCACCCAAGAAGAGAAAAGTGTGCCTTAGAGAAGAAATTGGGATAATCAAATCCTAAAATACAGGTTTGGAGCTCATTAAATGACAGGAAACTCCCAGGAAAAGAATAAGACTTGATTTTAAATCTCTGAACAGAGAAAACACAGAGTTGTTCGACTGCAGCTCTCCCAAAGCCATGGGAAAAACCTTTGGATCATCATCAATCCCACTGTTAATTGTGGAAAACATCCCTGGCTCCAGCTGGGAGCACCAAACACTCCCACTGCTTTCCAAGGAAGCACAGGCTGAAGAGAGAGCAGCAGAACTTACACAGATCAATGGAAAATGTCATTTCAATTAAAAAAAATATTCAATTAAAAAGAAAAAAACAAATAATTATGTATATTTTATATGGGCAAAAGCAACTCACTGGACGGGGCAAAATTAAGCAGAATTTATTCAAAATGAATATATTCACTTACCAGTTTTTAGAGAAAAAAATAGAAAAGCTCAATATACATAACAGAGGGAATATTTCTGCATTTTAGTTGGGTCTTTTTAAAGATCTTTAAGCGTGTGTTTGCCAAAAGAACTGCAAAAATAATTGATGCTGGAGGGGATTTTAGTTTTTAAATGGAAATGTCTGAAATACCAGAAATAATAAGGCGAAGTGATTGACTCAATTCCTTGTAGGTATTTGTGTAAATACCTACCATATTAATAGATATTAATTAATTAATATTAATTAACGTTTAACTATTATTTAATTGAATTTTTGGCTCCTGGCAGAGCTGGAGAAACCCCTGAGATCAGCTCAGCTCAAGGCAGGAATTCTGGCTGTGGGTGCATTTTCTCTCTCTCAATTTCTAGCCCAGACTCATCCCAAAGATCCTTCCCATTATCTCTTAGGAATTCTGGTGCCCATCTGGAATTAGAGGAGAACTTGGGGGGTTTATCATAAGAAGCAACATCTGTAAATATTTATTTTTTTATGGCACATGCAGCACATCTGGGTGCCTGCAAGCCTGAAGATGAAGCTAAGGCTGCTGAACTTGTTGGTTTTAAGTCAAAAATTTAGATAAAATAACTCCAATTTGCACAGTTAGCACTGCCTGCTCCCCCATCTAATAACTTTCCTTAGAGCTCCAACAAGAACACTTCATTTTAACTGTAATTCCTTAAAACTTTAGGATCTCTCACGTTAATTTCTCCCCAAATACTCTTTTCATGACAGGTTTTTTGTCACATACCTGATGAACTTTATTCAACTGCAAAAAAGGTGGCCCCACTGCTGAATTTATGAGGTGAGGTAAACCTGCAGATGCTCCAAGAACTGTTTAAGAAACACACAAAAAATCGTGTATTTTACAAATGAGGCAAGTAAAAGTCTTTAGAATTATCCTGTATTTTTAAATTTGCTTCCCAGAAAGGTTTCAGGTGTACGAAGGTCACTATAAGGGAACAAGAGGCTCGTTTAGGTTGGGAGAGGCTATGAAACCTTTTGATGTTCAATTACCAGAATGTGAGAGCTCCTCCACACCTGAGAGTTTCACTCCTGAGCTGATTCCAGGCCTCAGCTTTATCTGAAGTGCTTTAAATTCAGATTTATCTCAAGTGTTTCTGCCCTGAAGTGGTCACTTCACACCCATTTCTGGGTTTCTTTGCAGCCACACTCTCAGCTCTCCCCCACTTGATCTCCTCATCACCTGGTTCCTGTTCTGAGCACTTTCACCGTTTGAAATGTCATTAATTAGGGTTTATGTTTATTCACATCCTGATTAGAAGACAGAAATGTTCCTGGCTGATGCTGTAATAAATACACTGCACAACTGTGGCAGCAGCCAAAAGAATAAAGATTTACATTGGCAACAGGAGAAAGACTCAGGCTGCAAAATTCAGATCTAAAATCAGATTTAAGTTCAGCCAAGTCTTGCAGAAGACATTTCTTTCTAAATCCATTTCTAATATGAATATTCAGAGCCCACAGAGTTCATACAAGGGTATTTGTAGGAACACTGAATTTTACCCACACACAAGAGTGTAGCAAAGCACCTCTTGCTTTTGCTTTCATAAAAGGTGGAATTACCTGCACAAACACACTGAAATAGTGTCTGCACAGATTTTAAACATTATTTCTACTCAATTACTCTGCAAAAGCCCTGCAGCACTAAGAACAGGCTTTGATTTTGCAGTGTTTTAGACCAGCTTACCAGGTTTAACAGCGTGGCCACGCAGCTGGGGCTGCAGCAGCATCTGCAGCATTGCTGGATTATTGAAACTTTTCATGATCTGCACTGGATTTGGCTCTGGAAGCAAGCCTTTCCTATTGTTCCTCATCTCCAATGAAGAGAGAAAAAGTGTTAGAAGCAGGAAAAAAGCAATACCTTTAAAACCCTCAAACTCCAATGGCAATGTACACATCTCATCTGACACAATAAAAACCCATTTCCTTCCCTGTTTCCTGCTTTTTTTCCCCTCAAATGAAACACCTAACAAACGATTCCAACAAAATTTCAAGCACATTTCTTTTTTCCCTTTAAACCTAGAGTTATCAGTACAGGAGAGTCAGAAATGTTGCCATGAGCACCAGATCTTGTAACAGACTTCTCATCTCTTTTATAGAGATGTGGCCTGAGCAGGCTGGGGAGAGAGAACTCTTCTGCCTCTCTATGTAACACTGATCACATCCAATTTTCTAGGAAATAATTTGATAAGACATGTGGGTGTAAAAAGCTTTCTTCTACCTCGAGCATGAAATGAGCCTATTTCTCCTGCCTTGAAATTTATCTTAAAGCTGACAAATTCTTGCCTCTCTGTTTTAAACCTCGTCCAATGACTCATTCCCAGTCACTTTTGTTTTGAGCTGGAATGATTTCTCTTACAGGAGATTACATTTAATAAATCCCAGAGCTATGTGGGTGCAACTTTGTAGTATTTAATAGATATTATTAATCTTCTTCCTGGCCATCTTTGCCTAGGAAGGAGCTTGAACTGGGCTGATTATACAGAATTCCAGAATGGTTTGCGTTGGTTAAATCCCATCTATCCAACAGAGCGATCCAACAGCATTAACCTCACAGAACCACGGAATTCCAGACTGGTTTGGGTTGGGAAGGACCTTAAATCCCATCCCATGGCAGGGACACCTCCCACTGTCCCAGGCTGGCTTTGATAAACCCAAAACGCTTCCCAAGCCCGGCTCCTTCTCCTCTCTGCACAAAGCCCCGGCTCGGGAGCGACGAGTTCATCCCAAAGAGGTTTCCTGGGATCTCACCATCCTCTGTGCTGCGATCAGAGCTGCCAAGGTGCTCCTGCCTGGTGCTCCAGGGGCACAGAAGGACACCTGCACCCTCCTGCCGTTGATGGTCACCCCGTCCATGGCCCCTCGCACGCTCTCCGCCTGCTCCGCGCTCTCGTACTCCACCACGGCAAAGTCCCCGCTGCTGCCGTCCTCATCCTGGGCAAACTGCAACAGCAACAGCTCCGGAGCCCGTGGGAAATGGGAATTCCAATGGCAACAGCTCCAGAGCCCCATGGGAAATGGGAATTCCAATGGCAACAGCTCCAGAGCCCCATGGGAAATGGGAATTCCAATGGCAACAGTGCCAGAGCCCGTGGGAAATGGGAATTCCAATGGCAACAGCTCCAGAGCCCGTGGGAAATGGGAATTCCAATGGCAACAGCTCCAGAGCCCGTGGGAAATGGGAATTCCAATGGCAACAGCTCCAGAGCCCCATAGAAAATGGGAATTCCAGTGGCAACAGCTCCAGAGCCCCATGGGAAATGGGAATTCCAACGGCAACAGCTCCAGAGCCCGTGGGAAATGGGAATTCCAATGGCAACAGCTCCAGAGCCCCATAGAAAATGGGAATTCCAGTGGCAACAGCTCCAGAGCCCCATGGGAAATGGGAATTCCAACGGCAACAGCTCCAGAGCCCGTGGGAAATGGGAATTCCAACGGCAACAGCTCCAGAGCCCGTGGGAAATGGGAATTCCAGCAACAACAACAGCTGCCAGCCCTCCATGGATAACTGGCAATTCCAGCAGCTGCCCTGCAATATTGTCACTGCCCCTCGCCAGATCCTGCACAGCTGACACAGCCAAGGTTAATATTTCCCACCAAACCTTTCCCCACAAAGGTTCCTTCTCAAAATGCTGGAAATAAGTTGGATATCACATCTCCATCTCTTTGGCATTCAGCTCACAGACTCAGTTATCTCTCCATGGTCATTTGCTCATTCCTTCCATTACCTCTTCCATTCCCACCTCCAGTTCCATCCCACCTCACACATTTAACACATATTTCAACAACAAAGCAGCAAGGAGAAGCAAGCTGTAAATACAGCTGGATGCTACAACCAGTTTTATTTTGCAGGATAATTATAAACTCATTCTTCTTCATCTTTTTCAGCCTGCAATATTCAAAGTGTCGTTCACCAGGGTGCATGACAGCTGCTGAAACATGCAACAATGCAAATTCCACCAGGATCTGGTGCCTTTTGGGAGCATGTGAAGGCTGTGGTTGTGGGGAATGCCAAGAGAAGATGCCAGACTGATCAATCAAGCAGACTGGAAAAGGGCTTACGTGGCAAACACTGCTCTGGCCTTTGTGTGCAGACTTTGGGAGAGAATGAGCAGATTTAAATCAAACAAAAAAACAGGCTGAGAAGGGAGGGATGAAGCTTAAGCAAAAATCTCCAGTCCCCAAATGAATGGGAATGATAAACTGATACCAGCTCTGGTGTGGAAGAGACAAAACCTCCTCCAGATTGCACTGGATAAAAACAACCTCAGCCCCACAAACTTCTCCTGACAACTGAAATATAAATGTCAAAGATCTGGAAGGAAAAGAGGGTGGTCAGATCTTTAATGGCACTGGCCTCTGGGCAGAGCTCTGGAGAACACAAACTTCATCTATAAATACATCTTATATTTATATTTTATTTGATTCCAGTTTAGGTGCACTGGCAAAGACCTGAGGTACTTGTGAAAAGAAGGGTTTGAAGCTATGGAACATCTGTATTTTAGTTTCAATGAAAATGAAACACAGCTAAAAACTCCCTTAAGTGCAGACACCAATAGCCTTGCAATGAAATCAGGAATTTTTCAACTTCCCAAGTAAACAGGTACTGAAAAAACCCTCTTTATTCCTATCCAGATAAGGGTGGAGACCTTTTAGTGACAATTTAAAGTTGACAGAAGAAAAGAATGAGCTTTTCTGGTCCATTTTGTTGAAACAAAGGACTAAACACATTTTTCCTAATGTCCATGTGCAAGTATTTAGCTTCAGCTCCTCCTGACAGAACATTTCTGTTGTCAATAGAGGAGAAATCAAAATTATTAAAAAAAAAAATAAAGTAATTTAAGATAAGATTAAATAACCCAGAGTTTATTTCATGAATTCAGGTAAGAATTCTGGGCAAAGGGTTGTATCTGCTTGATGAAATACTGCATGAGCTCCCAGCAGAACTAAGCCATGACAGCACCACAAGACCTGCAATAAAGTTTTTCAGAAAAAAAAACCACTTTTCTCAGTCATTCTCTGTAGAAATTCAACCAAAACTGAGGTTTCTGCTTCCCTGCCCTCTCCCAGTTTTTCTGTCTCTACCCACCCTATCACATCCCTCCTCTTTGCTTTTTCCATCCTTTCTTGGGTCTTCCTCCTCCTTTCTCTGTTCTCAATTTTCAGGTTGTCTCACTCATAAACCCATAATTAATTAGTATCAATTTTCTTCCCTTCCCCCTATCAAATCTGAACTATTTCTTTCCCTACCTCCACCCTCCTGTATTTTATAGGAACAGGAATATTTACTGACCTAATTCAGACACTCTCCTCACTCACACCAAGTATTACCCAAGATTTATTATGATTTAAAAAGTCAATTTTGAGTGCTTCTAACTGCACAGCAGAGCTCTGTCAGTGAAACCCATCTTTCCCCAAGAAGTCTGTTATTCTTTGAAGCTCAGAATTTTTAAAGGATGGTGAAAAATTGTTGGGGGAGCTGATAACAGCCCCCGGATTATTTGACAGCTGGGAAAAAAAAAGCCCTGAAGGAAAAGACTTAAATGGATCAATCTGTTGAGCTAATTAAACAAAGACTGAGCAGGAGACTTGAGTCCAGCATTTAATACCTACTTACAGGAAGAAAATAATGGAGAGCAAAAGCTCCTTAATTTAGGCATCAGTGAGGTGAGGCTGAAGCCAGACACATTCCCCAGGCTCGAGATCGAAATAGGCAGGAATGGGCATTTTCTGGGAAGAGTTAATTCCAGTTTATTCATCTCCTGGTGGATCTGGATCAAGCAAGTCTAAGGATTTCCTCTGGCCAGTTACAGATTGCTGGGGCTGGAAGGGAGCCCCAGGGAGGGGGGAAGGTCTGCAGGTGGTCAGGCTGCAGATCCTCAGGGACCTTCTGCTCCCCGTGCTGGGAATCTCCGGGTGCTCATCCCTGGGGCTGATCCCTGAGCAGCCTTCCAAGAGACTTAAGGGAAAAAAAAACAACACAAAAACAACCCTGCAACTGAAATCTGTGGGACTACAAGGAAAGATTTTCTTCTGCTGCTTGTTTATGGTGATCTATCTGTGCCACATTGATTTGTGGTCTCCTCTCACAAGCCACGAGGATGAGAAGGAAACCTCTGCACTAAAAAGGCAAGGATCCAACTCTTCTTGCTTCCCAGCTTTCCAAAAGATGTGTCACTCCTATCCCCGGCAATAGCCAAGAACCCAAGCCTTCCTCAGTTAGGGAAAAACATGTTAAATATTTATATATTAATTACATGATGTATTTTACATCATCTGAACTGTTGCACTTGTGCTATTCATACACTCTGGCTCTCTCTGAGCAATAAAACCTTCAGCAATGTTTACTTTAAAAGCTCTCAAAACCCAAATTATTTTGAGTAATGATACAAGGGGACATAAGTATGACATAAGGGGATGCCTTCCAAATATTTTGTTGGCATTTCCCTGGAGTAGTGTCCTGCAGAATTCCCAGTCAACAAGGGTCACACTGCACATCTAGAGCAGTTCAGTATCACTGCTGGAGTGATATCCTGCAGAATTCCCAGACAACAGGGGTCACACTGCACACCCAGAGAGTTCAGCATCACTGCTCCCATCACTGTGCAGATGGCACAACAGTTGATAGGAAAAATAATAGGAAAATAAAATAAATAAGAAAAATAGGAAAATAAATAGGAACAATAAAAGTGGAGGACAGCGAGAGTGAAGTGAGGCAACGCTGCAATCCCAGCCTTGCTTTCCTTAAGACAGAAACCCAACATACCTGGCAGAACACAGGTTTGTACTTCAGGGAGAAAGCCTGGAGCAGCTCTTTCGAATCAGCGCAGTCTTTTTGTAATTTATCCACACAAAGGCACTTGGAGTGAATGAGGTTTGTGGTCAGCTGGTTCACATCCATCCATTGTGCAAACAGAGTGCTCTCCTCCAGCTGCTTGCCCAGGAGCTCCAGCCTGGCCTTGGCAGCAGAGTCCTTCTTCATGTACTCCACGAATCCGTAGCCCTTGGAATGGCCGGTGAGCTCGCTGTAGACCAGGAAACACCTCTCCACGTTGCCATAGGCACGCACCAGTTCCTCAAACTCCTCTATCCTGAGGGAAAGGGGCAGGTTGGTGATGCACAGCAGAGCATCCGTGGGCTGCAGCTGCACGGAGATCTCCTTCCCTCGCAGGGAGTGCTGGTGGAACCTCCTGATGGCGCTCTGGGCCTGCTCCCCGTTTAACAGGGTGACAAATGCTGCAAGAGAGCAGGAGTGGGGACATCAGCTACCCCAGCTGGTCTGCAGCCACACCTCTCCCTGCCCCTGGAACCACAGTGAGAGCTGCAGATTCACCCCAAAGACCCAAGAGATAAATATATCTATTAATGTAATACCTAAAATCTCAATTGAACATCATGAGCAATTAACTCAGAAAGCGACTACGCTGTGATGCTCACAACTTCACTCCTTGGAACCCAAGCAGATTTCGTATCTGGGAAACAAAATTAAATATCCTACTAGCAGACTGTCCTTTACTAAATTAAATATTCCCCTGAAGTCCACACATCACAGATTCTATAGAATCCCTTTGATGACAACATCCACAAGTTCTCACTTTGGGGCTAACAGAACTTTTTTTTGGGCTTTTCAGTACATAAGGCATTTCACACAATCCCAAACCGAATGAGGGTGGCAGGGACCTCCTGCTCCTCAAGCAGGATCACCCAGAAGGGTTCCCAGGATCCCAAGGGATGGAGATGCCTCTGGACAACCTACAACAGTGCTGGGTGACCCTCAGAGGGCAGAGGTGTTTCCTGATGTGAGCAAACTGCAAATGCATCTGGAGCTGGGCAGGTTTTCCTCTCAGGCACGTGTGGCTTGTCCCAAGAGAAGCCTCAGGGCCAGTTTTCCAAAGGAATTCAGCCAGCTGAGGTCAGCTTTGTCCCAGAGGGACACTGTCTGAGGAATGCTCCTGAGAGGGAGCAGAGGGGACCAAAAATCTTCTGATCAACACCAGAAGTTTCCAACTTTCACTGGGTTCAGTACAAGGTGACAAAAAAGGCACTGAGGGATGCCAGGCAAGCTGTGACAGTCCAGGACTTCACACACAGCACATGATGTTCTTCACAGAATTGAAACATATGGAAGTTTGAAGTTCTCACCTGTTCTTTTATTCCTGTCCACATAACAATACTTGATTTCATAATCCTTAAACAAGTCGTGGATTTCCTGCAAGGGTAAAGTACAAATAACATCACATAAATAAGTTCCCCAAACCAAGCAAATGGATAAATTCATCCTCATTTCAAACAAAACCAAAACCTTTCCCAACAAACAGAAAATTTCACCATAGAAACACTATCAAATATTTGTTTTTAAAGGAGTTGGTTACACATTGCTGCAGCAATGTTTTAATATCACATAAAAAACTGGCTTGCAGAATTTGATTAATTTGCTTTTCATTCTCTGGGGTGACATAAACACAAAAGGGCATCCTGAAAGTGTCCTTTGATAAAGACAAATAACATCACAGCTCATTAAATAGCAAAACCCTCTCCATGTCTCTAAAGTACAACTGGCAGAGCTAAAATACCACATGGGCAAGGAACACTGGCAGCATCACATCACCAAATAGGGCACAATGTTGCCTCAAAACCCAACAGTTGCTTTAGTTTCCTGCTCAAGTTCAGTTTAATAGATTTTCACCCTTAATAATGGATACTCTTTCACCCAGCAGATAACTGTGGCCAGAGTACCCCCTGGAAAGTATCCTCTATCAATTACTGCACAGCTGCTCAACAGAGAATCAATCCCAAGAGTGTTATTTGCTCCCACTAATTAATGGGAACAGAGGAGGGATGGGTAAGAGCAAGTCTTAGAGGAGTTTGCTACAGCTACTTCCAAAAAACCAAGGTGCACATCCCCTAAAAACCCCACAAATTATTGCCAGTTCAGTGGTGAAAAAGCAGATGTGAACATTCACCACCCCAAGGAAAAAACAGGAGTAATAACCTGGATATTTACATTATTTTAGCTGGATAAATCCCATACACAGGAGTGCAAGATGATTTCTGCAAGCAAAATAATCAACCAGCTTTGTCTGAAAGTTTAATTGCAGATGATTTCCAGCAGCTAAGTGTAGCTGCCAGTTTGGTAATTCAATATATGGAGCCTAAAGGTTAATTGGGCTCTCTGTGAGGGGTATCAGGTGCACACCTTTTAGTCAAGAGAGCACCAATCTCTGGTTTCACTATTTAACAGCTGTCAAATACTGCATTAATAAAAGATGGCAGCATTTCTCCAGCCACCACACGTCCTCGAATAAGGTGCGATAAGGATGGGGTTTCTGAAATGCAAGATATGCCCAAAATTCAAGCCAGGTGGGGGATTTGAGTGTGGACACCTCTCAAACAAGAATTAGATAGTTCTTTCTCAGACATAAGAGACTGAGAAGACACTTTCTGTACAGTTTTGGCAGCTCTGTTGTGCTGTTTCACTGAAGACTCCAAAAAATTGTTTCTGTCCCACTCAGAAAAAGAGGGACATATTTGCCCTTTTGATTCCCTGTATTATTTCACAAGAGAAACGCTGAAAGTTTTATATGATGATTAGGTAGCAGGAAATAGGATTTCAAACAGCTCTGAACACTCCTTTGAAAGTCATCTGTGTATCAGATGATTCCACATGATTCCCCAGTAACTGCCTGAAACTTTGAGAGGAACACCAGCCCCTACTGAACAACTCTTTGGGGGATAATTATGAGATCTCATATTAAAAAATGACAATAATATAAGGGAGATTTAAAATAAAGCCTGATTTAAGGACAGAAATCCAGTAAAGATTGTAACACCAACTCCCACAGGTGGCTGCAAACACTGCCAGGTTTGTGCAAAGGATTCTTCCAGGAAGGTTCTGATTCTTGTGCTCTTGTGGGCTCTTGGCAGGGCTGAGACCTTCACCTGTGGAACTGGGGTTGGGCAGTGTTTCAGTGAAAGCATTTCTCACATAAACACTGTTCATGAGGATTTACAAAGATAAAACACGCCCTGCCAACTGTAGGGAAATGTGTACTCCTTTCAGTTAAACAGCTGTAAATATCTGTGTGTTACACGGAGATTTCTCTGCTTGCTTAGCCAGGCATTTCTCTAAACTTCACCTCCAACATCTCCCAGCACTCAGGTCTGGTGGAAAAGAAGGAACAGATTGTGGAAGGAAAGAAGGAACATTGTGATGTTGTTGCCAGTTTTACTCCCCACAGCTCAGGGCAGAAGTGTCAGGAATGCAATGGGATCGACAGCTCTGATCCCGGCGCTCCAAGCAGCTCTCCAGGACTGGGCCAGGAGGGAATGTTTGCTCTGCAGGAGAAGGGGGTCAGCCAAGTCAGGTAGATGCTCTGCTGCGACCCCGTTAACTCGTGAGGAATGTAAGCACAGGGATGTTTCCGTGAGAACGGCAGAAACAAACAGCGCCCGCCCGGTCCCACTGCTGCAGCTCGTTCCTGTTGCGGTGCGTGGTTTGGATTGTCATTCATAGTAGTCAGATTTATAACCCCCCCCCCACACACACACAATTTTGTATTGTTATGGCATAGTTTACTCTAAATGGATTGTTCTCTTCCCCCTGTATTGTCAGTTTTGCCCTAGTTGTCTATCTCCACACAGACCTGCGCTTTCATTCCCTGCTCCTCCACCCACTGAATGTCACTCCCTCCCCATGCCTGCCTCTTTCTCTAGAAACTTCCCTCCCAATTTTGTATCCTTTGAGGCCCCATTGGTCTGTTTAAGTTGTTCTCCTGCCCTGTAATCCCCTACTGGTTCAAACATTGTATTCCCCACCTTATGTTCCTCCCTAGGTGTCTCCTACTTGGTTACAGATTGTACCTGCCCCATGTATAAGTTGATGCGTGCCTTTGTTGGGTGTGCTTCTGTCCCTGACCCTCCTGGGAATAAACACCTCTGGAAAACACACAGATCTCTCCCTGTTCCTTGTCCCTGCCCTGGACACAGTCCAGCCGTGCCCCAGAGGCACACTCAGACTGAGCAGCTCTCTGGGGGCAGCCGCTCTCACCGACGGTGTCGGAAATCCGGCACGGCAGCAGCTCCCATTGCCGGCGTTCCCCCGGCCCTGCTCCGGGAGCTCCTGCACCCCACCCCGCAGAGAGGGAGCAAACCCTGAGCACGGCCCTCAAATCCAGCTGTAGTAAAGCAGGAGTAAACCCAGAGTGGTGCCACACCTGAGCAGCGGCCGCCAGCCCTGGTGCCACTGTCCTGTCTGCGCGCCAACATCCGCATCCCAGCATTGTGCTGACAAAACTGCTCCTCCTAAAGGGCTTTTTCCTCTTGAATAAATCAATTAATCTGCTGAGCTACAAAGAGTGACTGACAACTCCCACAGCAATCTTCATTTAAATGCATCCTATTAAACACCTTATAAACAACAGCAATGTTTACCAACACGCTGAAGGCTTGAGTATCACACATTGGACAAAGCAGATTTTGACAACAAAAAGGTTAAGCAGTTCTATCTGGCCCCTTCCAACCCAAACCATTCCAGGATTTTGTGCTTCTGGAACAGAAATACAACCAATAAAGCATAGCTACTCTACAACCAATTAAAGCTTTAAAAGCAGATAATCTTGTCATCAATACAAATTAAAACGGTAATTAGGAAATAATCGGTCATACGCGAAAATCGGCAGAAAAAGCAAAATCAAATCTAATAAAGGGAATTTAAGAGAAGTCACTCTTTATCCTTTAAAAAAGTGTATTATTTACTACTGTAAATGTGGTCTTGAAATACTTCAGTTCTTGCCCTGTCCTCTCTTAAGTAGGAAAACTGGCAACTTCAGTTTTCAGCACGTATTATCAGCTTGGGACTTGCACCTCTGAGACAGAAATAATTCCTTAGAGAGGATCTTGGTGTTTAGTACCTGCCCTGTTTTAAACACAAATTAGAAAAGGACTTGTTCACAGGCACATGTATCAAATTAGTAAAGCTCAGTAGTTTATTTCTAATAAAAGCAGCTTCTCCTACCCAGACTCGCACAGTGCAAGGGAAAAAGATCCAAGAAATTCTCAGTACTCACCTGGAACAATACTAAGATATATATAATAAGGTATATAAAGCCTACAGCACACCAAACTCAAGCACTGCTCCCTCTCTGGATGTAAAACTAGACTTGATATTCAATGTAATAATTGTGCTATTCTGGCAACAGAATATTTAACAATTCTAAGGATGCCTGGCCAGATGTCTGCAGTGAGCTTTAGGGAAGTCTCCAATATAAACACTCTGCAAGCCTGGTCTATAACTTGGCTCTCACTGAGCAGCTGAAGGCCTGAACTTCACATGAATATCCTTGAAATGGAAATCAATTAAATTTAAAGTAGTTACTCGGCTAAGCAAGAAGTTTTAAATCATCTCACAGCTGAAAAAGGCTTTGTCCCATTTGTGGAGGCAAGACAGGAAAAAGAGAACCTCTCAGAAAAAAAGCTTTACATTTACAAAGTTATATAATGGGGTGTTCATTTGATTCAGATTTTAGATTGCTAAATATTTGAGCTCGTGACATGACACATGGATTTCACTGCAGATAGTAAATAAAACAGTAGTAAAAAAGAGAATGTTGACAAAGTTTAAATAATATGTTACCAAGGGGAAAACCCAGAGTTCTGCTGGAGAGCAAGTGCAGCACTCAGCACCAACAAGGGGGTTAATAAAAAAATAAAAGGAACTGATGCAAGTGCAATTTTTAGCATCTCCTGATCAGAGAGGTAGGAGGGCCTCAATGTTTCATTAATTGCAGGTTAAATCCCCCTAAGAAGTAACATTTCATGCAGATGGGCTCACCACACCTCTTCCTTCCCAGTTTCCACGTGGTTTTCAGTGCTGAGTTAAGTTCTCAGAGGAGCAAAGCTGGAGGATTGGGGTGAGATGTGGCAGGAGCAGTGAGCGCTGAGGTGTGTCCCAAAACTCCTGCTCAGCTCATTCCTCTTCATTCCCACAATCCCAAACTAGGAAACCTGAAATGGAGTCCAGCCTGTCATGCCAGGCCATAAACTGCTTTTGGGGCAGTTTGTGTTTGGGAATCGAGTCTCACTTTTGTAAGATCAGAGCCCACAAAGATCTTTAGTGATCACACCTTATTCGAGGACGTGTGGTGGCTGGAGAAATGCTGCCATATTTCATTAATGCAGTATTTGCCAGCTGATAGATGTAAGTGATGGAAG